TTTGTTGAGTTGGAACGGAAACGACAGCAACTAACGGTGGCGGTAACGGTGGAGTTTATCAATCAGACTTAAGTATTGAGCTTCCGCCGCTCATTACTAGATGGCGCCACAACTTTGATGATTCTTTTTGAGCTTAATTTCTAGATATTTAGTTTAGCTAGGCTCTAGGTGATATTTTTTAATAATTAAAATAAATAGTCAATAAATATTATAATTATTTTATGAGAAAATTTGGAAATATTGATACCGATTAAAAAAACTGGCAACCTTGCTAAGGGCCGGTTTTTCAATAGCGAGTCACTTCTGGGTTGGTTTTAACTCCAGGTTAAGCGTGCCCAGTTGCAATGTTTACCCTGGAGTTATGCTCAAGCCGGGGGTGACTTGATATTGAGAAATCGGCCCTAAGGGCCAAAAAAGAGTGACACGATAAATAGAAATCTATTGTAAAAAATCGATTCTAAATAAAAATGCACTTATTTTATCGATTCCAGGCGCTCGAAAATTGCTTAAGATTTTTCAAAATTTTCATCGATGTGGATTAAAAAAAAATTAAAAATCGAGTCTAATGGTGTACCTACATTGTGATTGGTTATGTTTATGAATGAGATCATAACCCGATCGTTTAGTTCACGTAAATTCAAGTTTACTGGTGATAATCCAGTAGGTTTAGGTATCGGTCGAAAATGAGTGGGCCTATTGTGGTTCATGCCCATTTATATTTCTCTAATCATGCCCATTTTTTCAATGAAGTTCAGCATAGTGGCTGGAGAGATGTTCTTCAGGTCTCCCAGTGGAACCGATAGCCCACCTAAGATATACGATGCCTCAGTCTGCCACCTGCCGGACATTCGCAAACAATGTGTGCAGCTGGTGTTTTAGCCTACGGTGACCAGTGTATAAGCCGATTAGTGTTTTCAGCTCAGTTCTTGCCTTATGATTGCCTTGTGCTTGTGTCATGACTGGCAGGTTAAGCCAATGCTTGTAGGCTTTGTTGTCCGCCCAGGTTTAAATGGCTACCATGTTATTGGCATTTTGCCATCATGTTATGAGACTACTGAGCCATAGATCATTGGTCTGATGACCATGATATATAACCAATGTATCTGTTTGGGCCGAATTTCCCATGATTTGCCACAGATCCTGCGGCATATCCATAGTGAGTAACTAGCTTTCTGTTTTATTTTTGCCAGATAGAATAAGGTTCCAGGTCACCCTTTTATCTGTAGTATTTCCTAGATATTGGATTTTGTTTACAAATGGTCGGTTTTTTCCTGTCGAGGGTATATACATTACCCTTGTCCTTGACCAGCTAGTTAGGTATGTCATCCTAAGCTAGACTTGATTTGAATATCCTAATTAATGAAGGTAGTAGGATACCCAGTCCGTTTTGGAGTAGAGCCGAAAATATACCATCCATCCCTAGCGAGTTGTAAGGATGGAATGATTTTGTCGCTCCTCGTATCGCATGCGCTGTGATTAACCGAGTATATACTGACTGAAATAGATTTCCGTTAGAAAGAAACTATAGTATATTACATACCAAGGTGGAAAGTGTTTCATTACTGTCGAGAGATTAGTTAGTTAACTGAGACGCGAAGCGTCGAAGTTATCCATAATCCTTTACAAAAATTACAACAATCACAATTTTTGACTAAATATTCAATAAAAATTGAAAAATATTGTTGACAAGTTCTGAATTATCCAAAAAAAGTTTGATATGCAGGACTTGTCTTTGACATTCTAGGAAATGAGGGCTTACTTTCCACCCGGGTGGAGAGTGAGCAATTTCCACCCGGAAGGAAACTTTTAACCTGGGTATATGTATACTATTTTATTTACAATCATTCGAATTTTGTAATTTTTCTTTAAATGAAAACTAAAAAAATACAATAAATTTTAACAATTTCAATAACTTTCGGCCCACGGGAGGAAAGTAAACTTTTAACCCGTGGGTGGAAAGTAAAAGTCAAAAAATAGGTACCTACAATAAATTTTAACAATTTCATTTACTTTCGGCCAACGGGACGAAAGTAATTTTTTAACCCGTGGGTGGAAAGTAAAAGTCAAAAAAGTGACATTTTCAAACTTTTCAAAAGTCAGAAAAGTCAACATTACATGTATGATTGTAAATAAAATATTTTTTCTCCAAACGTCAGAAAAACGTCACTTTGTTAACCCTAGTCAAGATGTCAGAAATTTGATTTCTATGCTGCTAGGCAAATACAGCGGTTTAACACCTGTCGAGGTGGTAGAAATTTAATTTCTATGCTGCTTGGCAACCCTAGCGGCAGCAATAGTTATTTGTATACCAAGGCCGCGAAGTGCCTTTTAGCGTACGTAGAGAAAAGTTATCGCCGAGGCCGCTTGCGGCCGAGGCAAGATAATCTCGAGGACGCTAAAAAGTTTCGCGGTCATGGTATACACACTATTTTTTGTGCAACCATGAAAATTATGTGGAATTATAGAAAAAATGTACTCCTTTCAACAAACATGTGGAACTAATTACCAGTTTGATGTATAACCTGGTGGCTATGGTGGCACAGCGTTTCCATGGATGTCAAGGATGACATATTTTGTAAGTAAACAAATACACACAAAATTTTGACGGTTCTCAAAAAATCGTGAAAATATCCGACAGCGATACAGATGTTTCACTCTCTTGCACTCCTCCAGAGCTAAAATAGTACATTAAAATACAAGTTTCATAAGACGTCATTTTATCGCACGAGCCCTATATTAGAAAACGAGCCGGAGGCGAGTTTTCTAAAGGGCGAGTGCGATAAAATGTCTTATGAAACGAATATTTTATACTATTTTTTCTATTTTGGTATTGTTTAGTAAAAAAAACCAATTTTTCTTGGAAATTTTATTCTCATATTTCCTGATTTCATAGTTTAGGTTGGTAACACTACATGCCAAATATAGAAATCTTCTATTATAAAATAGCGAATGACAGTTTGATGGCCATCAGTCAGTCAGTGTCACCAACCTCCGATAAGTAAAAAAGGAGTGTCACAAAGAGCTTCTTTTCGAAACTACTTTTAGTGTCGAAAAGACTTCGATATGACACCAAAATAGAAAAAATATGGTTCAATCAGCTATTTCTGAGTTAATACCTGGAAAACTAAGCGGCAATATGAAAATTGTTACTGCGAGTTCAAAAAATTGGTGTGACAAACAAAACGTCAAAATGGTGTCTGAAAGCATATTGGCTAATTTAATGCCGAAATGGGAAGTTTTGAGAGTTCAATTCAAAAACACTGGATTATTAGTTGCTTCAGCTTCAGGAGTAAATATTAGTAATAATGCAAACTGTCATGTAAGTGTTAATATTTATCCTAAATAATTTATGTTGTTCTGAAGAATTTGGAAATAAAATTTACTTATTGTTGTTGTCAAAGTGTCAAATTTTGATTTATAGTTTCGCGGCCGTCACCAAGGGCAACGGCCGCGAAATTGAATTTCGCGGACTGTGTGGCGGCCGCGAAAGCTCATTTTGCGGATGGTTGCACAAAAAAGTACTTTTAGTGCCGCTGGAGCGGCAGTAGAAGTACTTTTAGTGCCGCTCGTACTTTTACTGTCGCTCAACCATCCTCTTGCCCCAGAGCTTACCCCATTCGTTTGGAAAAAAAATAGCTTGTTGCATACGGAGTAGAAGCACTTTTTTGTGCTTCAGCAGTATTGCAAGCCTCACTACGTTCGGCTCGCAAACCTACCGCTTCAGCACAAAAAAGTGAAGTTTCTACTCCTAATACAACAATATACTATTATACTAAAATATCCGGCAGTAATTTCGCGATACCTAATAATAAAATAACTCGTAATCAACACACCATATTCTGTTCCTGCGGAATACCAGGAGACAGTAAGAGTAATCTTCTCAGATATCAAAGCATGTCGTAAGCTTGAGGATTGAATGATTTTTTCCAAATCTCAAACCTAAAAATTGTTTATCTCCAAACGACGTTTAAAATCAACCTCATCAAACAAAGTTATACATACATTAATACATTGTAGGAAAGCTCAACGCCTAACCATAAATCGCGAATTTCAACCCTCAACGTCAAGTTTATAATTCTAGTCCTAATTACGAACAACGCCTGTTAAATCCCTTTTATTCTGGACTTCAACTTAAAGGCCCTTATAAACTATCAACCAGAATTTATTAGCAAGTTTATAATTTGGCTTTCAGCTTTAATCTGGAAACTATTGTCGCCGAAATTGAAAAGCTGAAATGGTTTTTGGTACACGTAGGCGCGAAAAATTTGCTTTCAATGCACCTTCTACTACTGCGAATATTGAAATCAACGAAGCTTCTCAATGCGACAAAAATTTAATATAAATTTATGAGCTGAACATACATATTTTGCTTCTTATACCGTAAGCATTGTATAGCTTACGGTGGGAAATTAAAATTTTATTAAAATGATTTGTTTGAATGGATTTTTAGCCCACACTATTTGGCCTACAAAGAAATTCCGAATTTCTACGTTCTTATTTTATGACATAAGTACATAAAATGCAATCTATTTTGAACGATATTCTGGGAATAAAAATATTTTATGAATGCTTGAGGAAATCAAAAGCAGCAGGCAGACAACATTCAATCTACAAGAAACATGTTTATTCAAAATTAAGTTTCTATAAAAACTATCATAGTAATAGTGTCGAAGTCAAAGTTAATGACTGAAAAGTCAAACATTAATTTGCTGAAATATAGGGTACAAAAGGCATTCAACTACCGGCAGAAACCTGATTGGATCCAGATTATTCACGAAGATGAAACCAGTAGCGACAATAAACATGGCACATATTGGCTGCGACTACTATACATATAAACTTGCGGCTCTGAAGCTTTATCTCTATGTAGAGCAATTTTGAGGTGAAACCTCAAACTACTAGCTTTCTAGCGAAAAATATAAAATTCAGGTATTCATGAATAAACAGAAGCAAATACGATGTTGAGGCATTTGAATATAAGATTTTTTTTTTCTTTCCAGGTGTCGAGCTTCATAGTTATAATTAGAAACTGTGTTTAGTGGCGAAAGTGATGTTTTCTAATTAACTTTGGTGACAAGACGGCAGTAACAGGACACATTTCTGAACACAAGATGCGGCTATATTTACCATTAGTCATTTTTGCGACTCTACTTAAAGGTAAGTTTATGAAAATATAATCCCTAGACACAAAAAGGGCCTCAAGTTTGAAACATTCTTTCGAAAGGCCCGATAATATAATAATTTCATAACCAAAAGTAAGAAAAGTGTTAAGCCGGTGATAGTTCAAATTTTGATTAGGTATTACTAGCGTTTGATTCGCTAGATAATATTCTAGAGGGAATCAAGACCCAGTGATAGGCCAAATTTTGATTATTACCGGCTCTTGAGTCTTGATTCGTCGGATAATTTTTCTAGAGGGAATCAAGAGACTGTAATCGTTCAAATTTTGATTATTACCGGCGTTTGAATAATATTCTAGAGGGAATCAAGACCCAATGATAGGTCAGATTTTGATTATTACCGGCTCTTGAGTTTTGATTCGTTGGATAATTTCTCTAGAGGGAATCAAGAGCCTGTTATCGTTCAAATTTTGATTATTACCGGCGCGGCGTTTGATTCGCTGGATCATTTTTTAGAAGGGCTCAAGAGCCGGTGATAGTCCAAATTTTGATTATTATCGGCGTTTGTTTCGCTTGATAATATTCTGGAGGGAATCAAGACCCAGTGATAGGCCAAATTTTGATTATTATTGGCTCTCTAGTCTTGATTTGTCGGATTATTTCTCTAGAAGGAATCAAGAACCTGTAATTAATAAAATTTTGATTATTACCGGCGTTTGATTTGCTGAATAATTTTCTGGAAGACTCTAGAGCCGGTGATAGCCCAAATTTTGATTATAACCGGCGTTTGATTCGCTGGATAATATTCTAGAGGGAATCAAGACCCAGTGAATGGCTAAATTTTGATTATTACCAGCTCTTGAGTCTTGATTTATCGGATAATTCCTCTAGAGGGAATCAAGAGCCTGTAACATATTTATTAGCACATTTTTATTTGCACTGAATCTTTTGACTGTCACTGATGTTTATTTTACCCCAAATTATACTCGACTCCGACACCGTTTCCTTGCAACCAGTAATTAACAAATCCGAAAAGTGGTGATAAAAAATTAATCAGAACCCATATCAAATGGAGGGCTTGTCAATTCTAGTCCCTAGAACGTTTCAGTCAACCTACATATCCCGTACAGCTCGTTTATAATTTAGATTTAAATTATTCGTAAGTTTTCTCTTTTTAGGGTCGCCCGATCAATCCTCTGTCAACTTTCTGTTTGTTAACTGCCTGGATACATAGACTGTTATGCCGAAGTTATCGTGGCATTATTAGAGAGATTTTAAGCCAGAAATAATACCTGAATATTAGCATTATATGTATAATAGCTAATCTGATGGCAAGTGGAGAATTATTTTTAGAGAATTAGAGACATTTTGTAAAGTATGATCTACAGAGCAATCACAACAGAAACAGATTGTTTCTGGAAGTTCTAGGACAATATAAATTATCGATAAGGCATATAGAAAATTACTGTTTTGTTACATAACGGGGTTTGCATGTAGATAAGTGAGGCTACTTTTCCAAAATTAGTTTACTTCTAGTCAAAACATAACACGAAACTATATACAAAATTTTGTTCAATTAGAATCAAGGCTTAACTTGTTACAAAATCACTGTCTTACAATCGATTCGCGCTCCACTCATTATCCGATTGTTAACTTATTCGGGATCGATTCTCAACCATAATTGGTTCTCGACACAATAGAGTGTGATTTATCACAGACTTCTCACATTGGTGGCCGACTCCGTTTTATATTTGCTTCGAGAATTGCCTAGATGATTCGTTTCCGTTCGTTTGTAGACTGAGCGTCTTGAATCGATAATAGGTCTGTTTTCACAAAAATCACAAACTAAGCGTTTGTGATTGGTCCAAATCGCTCTACAACCAGTTTCGACTATTTTCAACCAATGAAATTCACTCTGACTGGTTTGTGATTGTCCGTCGATTTTAATCTGATATTCCAAAGGAAGGTGAGCTGGTGGCTCCCTACATTAGAACGCCAATGGTCACCTGACGTCACACCTGTTTTTATCATAAGCTCCACCCCCTTGCTCCTCATACGGAAAGTGTCAGATTAGAAACGACGGACAATATGTCCTCTACGAACGCTGGCAATTATCAGCGCCATCTGTACTTTGTCGACTGCTTTTCTGAATAGACTTATCGTGATTTCGCCATACCAGTGACGCAAATTCTTTAGCCAAGATATTCTTCGACGTCCACGGCCTCTCCTGCCTTCGATTTTTCCCTCGATTATGCGTTTCAGAAGTTTTTTCTGTTATTTGTCATTTCTTAGTACCCATGTGTCCCAAGTACAATAACTTCAAGATCTTTTGACATTGTCGTTAGCACATCTTCGTCGTGCACTCTGTCCATCCAAGATATTTTAAAGATCCGCCCATATGTCTACGTTTTGCACATGGCGTCTGTCAGAGTCCACGCCTCAATCCCATAATAAAGAATACTGAAGACGTAGCAACGTAGTACTCGAGTGCGAACGGAGAGCGAGAGACCTCGACAACACAACATGGACGTCATTTTTACAAATGATGCTCTGGCTTGTTCAATCCTTGCACGAACCGCCTGCAGGTTATCCAGGTCTTCATTAACTTGACATCCTAGGTATCTGTATGATTAGACCCGATCGATCTCTTGGTTCTGTACCTGAAGAATACCTCCTCCTACCTGGCTCTTACTTATAAATCACCATCCATTTAATATCGAAGAAGGGCTTTTTAAATCTAATAAAGATATACTTGTGGAGGATGACTGGGTTTTTTTCATTGAAATTAAATTTCAGCTCCACTTTGAGTTATGGACTGACTACTTTTTCAATTTACCATCCATTTAGTTTTTTTGGTGTTTAATTTCAATCCAAATTCTCCACCTTCAGTAGCCAAATGATCAAGTAATATTTGAAGACCTTCCAGAGAATCAGCGATTAAAACCGTATCGTCCGAATATGGAAGATTGTTAATGTTCACGCCGTTGATACAAATTCCCTCAGTCCAGTCTTCTAAAGCTTTTTCAAATATTTTGTTCGTATAAATATTTAAAAGTAATGGTAGGATGCAGTCCTGCCGGACACTTATTTTTATCCTATCCATATCTTTGAACTGTCCTGTGCCAAAACCGTTATGAAAACCGAATTGCGATTCGCCCATGTAGGACTCGCATTTTGCGTATATTCTTTTATGAATGATCTTTATCGGTAAACCAGTATTGAAAAGTTTGACTATTGCGTGTAATGAGCTAGCGTTTAGAGCTACTCTTATCTAACTACGCTTTAACCTAATAATATTTAAAAAAAAAGAAAGGAAAAGTCTATGTGAAGTATAAAATACATGCTTACACAATTCCAATAATAATTAAGGAATAATTTGATAAAGTAAGTAAACTAAAGACAGTATAAGAATCAGATTGACGTGATATATGGATAACTTGAAGAGTAGACATAAATACACGGATATAATAACATTTTCATGTAATAATCATTGCTTATTTCCACGAACAAATGCCCTTAGCTTATTTTCAAAGCCAGGTACGGAAGAGCCATCCAACATTTCGAGGGGCAGAGAATTAAAAATTTTTGTGGCATTATACATGAGATCGCTGGAAAAGGGCGGTATTATGCTTTGGGACGTTCAGTCGATTGCAATGTCGGGTCGATCTGTTATGAGTTTCAGACTTGCGGCCAAGGTTTTCATACAGATATGCAGGCTGTTTACTGCGCAAAACTTTAAAGGTCAATGTTGCCATATGCATAAAAAAGCGCCCCTGTAAATTAAACCACTTAGATTTATCGAAAACATGATCGAATTTACGATAACCATAGGCAAGTTTAAGGCATGAATTTTGGGATTTTTTGAAGACTCTGTCCTTTTCTAGCAAGGTAGGCCAATACATAACATCACAATACGTTAGGCTCGATAGAATCAGTGTATCACACAGTCTGAGCTTAACATCTATTGATACATAGTCCCGATGTCGATATAAGGTGCGCAATTTAATATTTTGTAGCAATGTGGCTACATGAGGTTCACCCGCAAATTGACATTCAAGGCAACGCCCAAATTCCTACAAGAGTTCACAGGTAGCAGCCGCTGATCATCGATTCTAATAACAAAGTTACTGAAGATCATGACGCAAGAAATTGCGGTTTTTACCGAAAATCATACACTGGGATTTTGCACCGTTCAGAATCAGCCCATGCGACCTCGAAACACTTGCCATAGGTATTCAGATCACTATTCAAATGCTCTTCGGCTATCCTAACGTCCAATTCTAAGAAGGAATAATACATTTGCGTGTCATCGGCATATTGATGCACGGTAAAATATTGCAAAATCAGAGATGTATATGGAAAACAGCAAGGGACCGAGTATGCTACCTTGTGGAACTCCTCTGGGGACTGATGCATATTCAGATTGGTTTCCCCCTATAAAAATAGCTTTTCATAGGAAGAAGTGAAGACACATCCATACCAAAATATTTAAATCTAACACACAGTGTGTTATGATCTAAGGTGTTAAAATCTTTATAGTCCAGAGGTACGAGAGCAGTATTTTTACCTTGATCCGAGGCGTGAAACAAGTCATCAGTTAATAGTTGTTTATTATACAAGACGGTAAAAAGATGCTTTACCTGTGAGTGGAAAATGTTAATTCACGAGCGACGAAGGAGCGAGTGGATTAATTTCACGAGCAGGTAAAGCTTTTTTACCGTCGTGTGTAATATTCTATTTTATTCTTGAGCAACTTTTTATTTATCAAAATTACAATATAGAATCATAGACTAAGTGCGCGTTCATATTGACACCGCTCGAGCGGTGAGCGTTGCGCGATGCCGCTGTAGTGATGCCCAAAAATAATTTTAACATTATTATTCAAATGAACATGGTCACACTGGAGCGACGCGTCCCGCGGTTTTAACATGTTCACTTGAAATATAGTGTTAAAATTATTCTTGGGCATCGCTAAAGCGGCATCGCGCAACGCTCACCGCTCGAGCGGTGTTAATGTGAACGCGTACTAAAAGGTGC